GATATTTGGACCAAGCAAGATAATCCTCCCGCCAACCTCTTTTCTCTGGTTCCAGCCTGTCTAGGAACCACACTGGTCTTTGTTTGGCAGGAGCCAAGAGGCACTAGGGAGCTATCGCATGGAGGTTTCTCACTGAGTAGATACTGTATTTCATGCCTCTGTCCAAGAATTTTCTCGGGGGAAAGTATGCGCCTGATCGGACAGGAACTGATACAAGTAATTAGACTCTAAATGACCTTTGGTTTTGTTTCTCCTGAACTTGAGAGCATTCACAATTTAGAGTCATTAAAGGTTACAATTAAATTTGCAAGATGTTTGCAGTCCATCACAGTGTCCTTACTTAGAAGTGCTTCTCTTGTTCCTGTATGCTAGTGATATCTAACCACCTCCTGACAAGGGACATCCTGTGGCATGTCAGAAGAAAAACCTGTACTGGAAGAGTTTCATGACACATAATCCCCTAAATCTCCTTGCTGAATTGAGTAGGATATTCATCAGAATGGGTTACATTACACCAGATCATATACTTTTTGCAGCAACAGTCACTAGCAGGGAAACTACAGCAAGCTGGAAAACTTACTGGCTTTTCCTCAATGACATACATCATGCATTCTGAATTTATCTATATAATGCTTTCACTATTAGCAAAGCAGCAGGAAAAATAATGGTGAAAAAGTAATCTTCTGGCCTTTAAATATCTACATAAGATAACATAGAAGTACAGCCAAGAGTATGAGGATTCTGGCTAGCTTTTCTTTTTTCTCTCATGCACAGACACACAAGAAGTCCTTGTAAGGTTATGCAATTAAGAAACAGTGTTATACTTATGCCTTCTGGGGTTTAGCTTTTAGATAGCCCACTTTTCAGGCCGAAGGAAGAAATAGGTTGGTGCATTCAATTTAGTTAAGCAAAAGCAAAGCCAAAATATATGTATAATCTGTCTCGAATTCATTTTCCCCAGAAGGCTGAAAAAAATTATAAAATAGCGTGAGATTGGTTCATTTTTACACTGCTCTTGAAAGCCCATTAAGGTATTTAACTCTCACAGATTGTCTGAGGGATCTTGAGTTGCTGTTATCCTTTTGTTCAATTATACTGTAACCTTCATGCAATTACAGTGACGATATCATCCTTCCACAGACATAACAATAAATTAACCATCTGGGGATAAATGACATTACTTAAAGCTTACTTCAGTGAATTATCAAAGAAATATTAATATGGCTACATATGATAGTCTTTAAAAGTAAATTGCATTAACTGTTTCTAGAAATCAACATTCCAATATATATTCGGGCTTAATAACATAACATTCTTGAATTTGCTTCATAATGAAATAGTTAGTGGAGAAATATCAGAAAAAAACACAGAGAAAACCTATTTTAGATTGGTTGAAAAATCTACCATGCAGAGTTTTGTGGGGTATGCTTTATACACCTATGCAATATTTGTCAGCTTCACCAAATAAATATGTGAGCAACACTATTCCTGGTATGTTTTATTTCCCCCATGACACATCTTGCATTGAATGTAAAAGTGTCTTTTGAGTCCCTTTGTAATTTTATTCCACAAAACAAGAAGAGATTCATCAGATTTTTACTGTTACTGCTGAAGGGAAAAAAAGAATGTAAGATGAAAGTTGGTATGTCCGAAATGCAAAATGGAGAACAAGAAATATCCTGAAAATAAAATGCAAGTAAAAATTTTGAAGCCATTTTTGGCAGCTACAATTATCAGTTACAAAAATTACCATCCTATGAGGCTTTTAACCAAAGAGAAAACAGAGGTCTGGCCTTTCCCGGCTGAGGTATCAGATATGATCATAAATTGATGAAAAATATTTGGAAATATAATTTCAAATAGAAAAGAAACATGTGACAACTTTGCAGACAGGGAGAGAATTTCACGGGTTGATAAAGCTCAAATATGTTTTTAGTTTAGGAAGCTGGTCTGCTGATGTTGGTTATAATTGTACTAAGGTAAATTAAATAAAAGAGTGCAATTAAACTGATGTAATAACGATCTCAAGAACATGTTTATACAGTGTCAAGTCCAAACAAATGTCTTCTAACCTAATGAGAAGTACATTTGAAGTAGTATCACGCTGCAGAATAGTAGCAACAACAAAAGGGCTGAATTTTGCCCTACCACTTGGAACAATTATATTTATTGAAGAGAGAGAGATGAGCAGGAAGAGGTGTAATGTGTGTTGAGGAGTCTAGTTTCTATTGTCTCATTTACATTGGCACAAAACATAATTTATTCTATTGTTTGAACAGAGCAAAGGTTTTTGCAAATGAGTTGTTTTGTATGCTGCAATTGAAATGAGTTTGCTTGAATGGCTAATGAATAAAAGGATGTCAGAATTTTATTAGGTGTTAATTTTTAACAAAACTTTGTTTACAAAATTTTTTAGAAGTGGATGACTGCATGAGAACCACTTTAAAAAAGTGGTGTTTTCCAGTGGTAGAAGAATTTTAAATTATCTGATGTTTTGAAAACACAAATGCGTATCTTCTGTTATGTTTTCATACTCTATCTTATGTTGATCTCAGATGATGAATGTATGTGCCTAAGTAATAACGCTCCTAAAATTTTCTGGTCTTCCTGCTCCGGAAGGCTTGGTTGTTGGTTCTGAAGGCAGAGGAAGCCATAGATTTCCCAAATTATAACTGTTCTCCTCCATTTTACTACCAAAAAAGTGCATGGCAGGCTTATCTGTTCACATAGTGAAAGATTTTAATGGTTTGATTCTTGGTTTGGGAGATAATTTTTGTAGGTACATATTAGCATGTGACTGGCAAATAAAAGAGATCTTAAATGGGATGTCTGTGGGCCGAGAGACTATGCTGGGCTCACTAATAGGTCTGGACAAAGGTATTGGAGTGATTTGAGCAAGGAAGCATATGAGACAGAGCACAGGAAGCATGGGGTGGCCCTGAGGGCAGAGGCTGCAGTTCCCTTCCTACCTCTGGCAAAGTTGTTGCTATACTCCAATAATTCTTGCAGAGGGTGCACATATGTTTCACTAGCTCTTATTTTGCTACCTAAATCTGGGCTTCCTATCTACAAATAGCAATAAACTATACTCCATTTTCCCTATTTAATTTATTTGCAGCTTTCTATTTACAAATGCGAATATCCAGAAATTGTTGAAATGGTCCTTAAGGCTAATCTTATGCAGATAGGTTGAGATGTTGCTGGGTAGCATTAAATACAGTATATTTGTCTCAGAATGTGCTAAGTCTGAAAATTATTTTAATTTTTGAAATTAGTATTAGAACCCCAGTCTTACAGGCTGTTTATATAGTCTTATGTCCTACTTCACAGTCCCTGTGTCTAGTCTATTTTTCCTACTGTCCTGGCAAATAGTAATTTAACAAGAGAAATGAATGCACCTTTTTTGGCATTACCAGTGAATATAAGCAGCAAACTGGAGAACTAAGGAGAAGAATTTTTGATCCACTTTCCAAATATTTTTCTTTGGCAAGACAGTATCTCTAGCAGCTGGAGACATCAAGATAGCATAGGAATCAACTTTAAGATGTGAGGTTTTTTACCTCTCATTAAGCTGTGAGCAGCTTGTCTTTGTCTTGGTCAGTGGTGCTGAACTCTGCTTGACCGAAACCAGGCATTAGATGCTTCTGTTGCCCATAAGGGTGTTATGGTGGGTTTTTTGAATAAGCCCATTAAGTCTGTTATCATTTCTCTCCTACTATCTTCTTCATCAGGGAAGTAGATCCTCAGATGAGATAAGTAACATACCCATTTTATGTCAGTCTTTTAAAAATATATAATTGCTAGGTTGGGGGCAAGGTTGTGAAAATTGTGGTAAATCCTAAGCTGTAGAGGACTGTATTTGTGTTGACTCCAGTTTCCATCAAAAATGGTCAGTGGGCTAGGTTTAAGATAAAACAGCGCAGAAACACTGTTACCTATGGAGGTAGCTTTGGGATCATATGAGATATCAGCAAGTGTCCGAGGGCAGATCCTTCTTCTCAGAAGGATTTCATTGTGCTGAGACCAAAAGAGAAGCAGCCAGAGAGCCAGGAGGGTCCTGCCAGTTCCTCTGCAGTTTTCTCTCTTGGCTGCACAAATGGTTTTCAGGTGTTTTGGAGGAAAATGAGCAGCAGAAGTGTACTGTGTAAGCTCACCCTGCTGAAGTAAGAAAATTAACAGGGAGAAATTAAAGAAATTATTCCTATATGCAATGGGACATTTTATGGTGTGTGTGAGAGTGTGGTGTTATATCTTTACAAAGCTTGTTGCATATGTAAATAAACAAACTGAAATCAACGCTTTCCCTTGGGTAATTTGGGATCAGATGCAACCCTCTTAAGGAAACCATTTCCCTCTGGTTCCATTTTTCAGGAGCTGCTCTGCTATTTCCCCTCTAGTTTATATGCGGCAAGGGCACTCGAGTAAACCCGCACTGAACTGTGCACTGCTCTGCCTTTGCCCAGTGACAGTCTCTCATGCAAAACCTTTCATTGTTCAGCTGCTGCTGGCAGGCATTTCCTTTTCCAGCTAAGTAACCACAGCTTGTTGTGTTATGAATGGTTTTAACATATGGTTTTACTTAATGTTAGCTGCCTGATAAGAAAATGAACTTTTTTTTCCCCCCAAAGCAATATTATGTCTTTATACATTTAATATTTTGCATGAGATGGTTAGATTTGTTCTTTGTTTTGAGGTCCAGGTTCTTGTACCACTCCATCATTTGGGTATGCAAAAATGCATACTTTTTCATTTGATCTTAAATTCCAAATATCATCTTTCCAATTCTCTGTTTTGGAATTAAACTAGCTGTCTCAAGAAAAATGTACACTGTGTGTCTTTTTCTTCCCTTTGAGCCAACATCTTCAGGCACATTGTATAGCAGGAAAAGCCTTTGCTACGGACTCCCTGACACACTTCAGATAAAGAGAGCAATTAGTTACCTTTAAAACATATTGGGCTTCGTAGATCATAACAGCAATATTGATGTCTGTACCTGAAACATGAATGCTGCTGTACAAAAGGTACATGAGCCAACTTGTACGGTGACGGCCAAACCACCGGGTAAGTAGAGTTGGTTTATGGAGCTTTGGTGGAACTTACCTGCCATTCAGTCAAGCTCCCTAATTGTTCAGTACTATGAAGAGAAAGGAACAATAACTACAGGGTTTTTTGAAGTCTGTGTCAAACTGCTTATTGGCAGCTATTCAAAGTGGCTTCAAGCATGCTTGACAAATGTGGTGTTTGGTATTTCAGGTTGAAAGAAGTATTGTTTCAGGTGTTTATTTACAATAAAGGTAACTTTGGAGAATAAGCAAAATTTTATATACTTTTTATGAACATAATGTCATGACTATTAGGGTAATTCCACATCAACCTATTTTATTGCTGTTATCTAACACCATTAATTTTTTTTTATTATTTTTTTCAGCAGAAACGGTGAATCTTTTTCTTTAGATCCTTTTCTTTTTGCCAGAACATTTTTCCCCTTTTAGAAGACAAGACCTGGACAAGAGCTAGCAATTGCTGAGAGTAAGACTGGTACATTAAGTGCTCTGTTTCAGCCGCAACTTTCCACCTATCTTCTACTAGGAAATCAGTAATCTAAAAATAAAAATCTCTTAACAAAGGAAATTCCAGTCATTCAGCTAACTAATGTTATTGTTGTATATTAGGTAAAATAGTCTGTATATAAAATAAAATAAAATGTGAAATAACTAATATATAAAGCAAGTCAAATATTAGGTTAATTCTTAAGTTGTGTTAGGGATCTGTGGCAAGGTGAGGGGGTGCCCGTGTGAGAGAGATGTGGATCCAGCTGGCTCCAATGGACTTGCTGCAGGAGACATCTGAGCTCATCAGCCAAGATGGTGGCGCCTCTTCAGAAAGGGTAAAAAATTTTCCCCAGCAGTGTCAAGAGTGAGAGACAAAGCATGAGAAACAACCCTGTGAACACTGAAGTGAAAGAAAAAGGAGGAGGAGGCCATCCAGGCACCAAAGCATCTATGGAATACCAGGGTGGAGCAGGTATTTCCTTGCAGCCTGTGGAAAAGCCCATGCTGGAGCAGATATCCACACTGCAGACTGTGGAGGACCCCACATTGGAAATGTGGAAATGTCCCAAAGGAGCCATGGCCCGTGGAGAATCCATGCTGAGGCACATTTATCCGGAAGGACTACAGCCTGCAGGAAGGTCCTAAACTGAATCAGGGAAAAATATGAGTAGGAAGGAGCAACATAGATGAAGCGTTATGAACTGACACAACCTACATTCCCTATCCCTCTGCTCTCTCAGTGGGGAGGAGGAGGCAGAGAGGTTGTGAATGAAGGAGCAATGTTGAACCTGGGAAAAAGGGGAGGGGTGGGGGGAAGGTGTTGTTTTTATTTGTCTCTGTTTCTCACTATCCAAACCTATTTTATGTGGCAATGAATCAAATTAATCTTTCCCATGGTTTGTCCATGACAGTAATTTGTATTTTCTCCCTTTCTCTATCTGGATCTACAAGTTTTTTCATCATCGTTTGTCTCCCTGTCCTGTTGAGGAAGGGGGAGTGAGAGAGCAGCTGTCTGGATGTGTGGCAGATGGCAAAGGTCAACCCACCACATAGGTAAAGGCTGAACTGTCATAGCAGCTTTGAAGAAGTACTGAGCATCTGAAGTAGATATGCTTAAAATGGAGCCTACTCATCACAAGCTCATAGAAGTATAACTCATTTATATCCAGTATTCAGTATGATGTTTTTAAGACATGACTAGTTGTCTCAGGTATTTAAAAATAAATCACACATGAAATTATAATCTAAAGTAGGTTTTCTTCTAATTCAGGTAAATACTAAAGTGCAAAAAATGTTTATCATAATGTCACATATGTAAAATCAGGCTCAGGTTTATGTAATTTGCTCATGCAGGGTCTTAGAAGGGAGAAGATAGTTATGAACCTAGTTTTTAATTTTTATGTTGCCTGCATATCCCATAGCATACCATATATTTATATATTCACAATAGCAAGTTCAAAAGACTCATTGCCTGTGCTACTATAAACCTGTATTCTGTTATTCTGCACACTTAGCAAACATTGAAAAACTTTCTAAGTGGTACTGAATTTGTGCACAGCTAGGAATAGAAAAAGAAACCACAGAAAGCTTATGTGCAGATTGCTGTAATCTTGTATGTTAACTCTTAAATGTAAATATAATACATTAAATAATATGCAACAAACATGAAACATATTTTGGAATTGATAAATTCAGATAAAAAAAGCATTTTTTTAAATCAAATCAGAGTCCTGCATGGAGTGGAAGTGCGCTTTCATATTTAACTGTTTTATATATATATAGTTTTCCTCTCTTGTTTGTGTGAGTGTGCATGTGTACATTCTGAGGACTAGGAGTATACCCTCCTTGATCTACAAGTGGCTTTAGATTTGGTTCATCATCCTTTTTTTTTTTTTTTTGTTAGATTTATATATAGATATAAAACTTAAAACATGTTGTGTGCTCTTTCTATTTGTCTTCATTACGGTGTTTAGGAACATATTATGCTTCTAGGTATAGTACTTGTGGAGAGTTTTGGAAAAGACCTCTCTCTACCAACCCCTCCCACAAAGGAGAGATTAAGTGGTTCAGGAAACTGCAGGTCTGAAAAATTCTTCCTTGACTAAATGAATCAACCATGGTCATTTACCACTGTCAGAAAATTAGGTCACAGATAGTATAAGCTAATTTTCTATGGAAGTCCATTCAGGAATAACTTAATTTTACATTTGATGCTTTCTTTAAGTTGTAGTGGCAATGATTAAATATCCATGCTCAACAGTGGCTTCAGCCTTTGAATCTCAGGGATGATTTGAAATGACTTTGTGTTTCTTTTCAAGTTGTTCCAATGCATGACTGGAGTTCTCATTAGAATGATCTTCATGCAAGGCCTGCCTGCTTCCCAGCTATCATCCACCTCCTGCTTTCCATTTTTGTCTAAAGTAAAGCTGCATCCGGCAAATGCTTGGAAATACGTTCTGTGGTTACTAATTACCTGGGCTGATTTACTTAGTTATGTGTTCCAGCACAATTAAGTCCTTTCTTTTCCTATTGTATCTGCCTCATTATTAGTTATAATGGTAACATTTATACTCTAAATGGGATGAAAGCATGAAAGGGAAACTCTGTGTAAAGATAGGACCACTGTGCAAGGGATGAATAAGTACTGAAGTATTAAGTCTAATTGTAATATATGAATATGGATTCAAAGGTTTTGTTTATATTGTCTTCAAAATATTTTTGGGGAATGATTTCAGGGTTATAGACCTGCCCTAGATTGTTTTAAAATATGTGTGCACATGACCATAGGGATAACAGCAGCACAAATATTGTATGAAATTATAAGTATTTAAAATGTCTCAATAAGCACAAGGGAATATTTCTTAAGGGAATGACATTTTAGAAGCAGATATCAATAAATAGGAAATAAGGAAAATACATTTCAGAGACTATGCTTTGGCAGGATGGTTGGCTATTCTAAAATGATGAGTAATAGAGTAAAATTACAGCCACAATAGTATATTCTGAAGTTCAGGTTTATATGTGACTTGTAAATATGTGTGGGCAGACTTTTTGTTTGGGTTTGGGTGTTGTTTTTTTTTTTTTAATTGGTGTTTCTCCCTCCCTGTCAGTTAGCAAAAGAGAAAAGTTGTATTCAGGCATTTAACTGAAAGAATCTCTGTCCCCACCCAAAAAAACCCACAATTGTAGTTTAGTCCTAATAATTAATTTTGTAGATAGGAGGTGTCCTGATATTAAAATGCTGTATAGTTTGAGTACATAGGTGTATTTTAAATGAAAAAAGGCAGCTAGATTCATAGCTCACCCTTTTGTCTATGTCAAATGTTTCCAACTGAAGCTTTTGTTGTATTATTTCCACACCTGCCTTTTTCTTAGGTCTCCTATCACCTCCACTTGAGTTGACTTCATGGTACTTGATCTTAACTGCTAGCAGGAAAATTATTCCAAAGAGCCACCTTTTTTGTTTGTTTATAGCATCTTATGACTTCTAGAACTAGTTCTGTGAACAGTTATCAAGCGTTTACTAACATGTTTCAGGAGAGGACAGGAGTAGAAGGATGTCTAAAGCATTCTGGAAACTTACTGGTTTTTTTAGTGCTCTCAGAGATTTCCTATGTCATGTCAAACAAGTCTTTTAACAAACCTGTCTCATTTCACAGTGGTTATGATGGAGCTTTTATTGTTAAGAAAGTGTGGCTGCACACTAATAGTTTTGTAATACCATATATTAAGTGGAGATGGATGGAAAATGGCATTTCTAGGTTGACAGTAATTCCAGTTGTTCAGGTTTGTGTTTACTTCTGGAATTTCACAATCGTGTTTTAGGGATAGATTTATATCCTCCTTCATAATGTGTTGTTTTGCGATGATACTGAGTATGAGAAGAAAGGACCTCTTGGGCTTGACAGTAAAAGAGGTTGTGGAGGAAAAGAGACTCAATATGACTAAAAAAGGAAAAGAAAACACAAACCAGCATAAATACTGTTGCAGTGGATGTTATTATTTGCCAGTAAAGAACTGGATTTCTGTGAGACATCTTCCAATTACAGTTTTTTCTTTTAGAAAATTTTCAGCCATCTCTAATATTATTCTTATTGTATTGTTAGCTGTTGGAACATACTTAATTAAATCAATAGAAGGAGAAAAGCAAATATTTCAACATAAGGCACCACCTGGTAAACACTTTAAGAGGAGAGGTAGCATGCAAACCTTAGTTTTGAAGACTTACTTGTAGCTCAAATCAACTTAAAGTTTGTCAGTTTTGACCAGCAAGGCAACAGCTTACATCAAACTTAAGAAAAGACTCACTCTAGGGCAATAGGAGTTTTAAAGTCAGGCTTTAGTTTGGGGTATCTAAAGAAGTTAGTACCATTAGTCTATGAAAGTTGAAAAAAAAGATGCAGGTCTATTTGTAGGCCATTTATTGTTTAAAATGGCAGGAGTTTCTGCCATTAAAATACATAGAATTTTACTTTGAACAAAACTGTAGCATTACTGAATTCACTGTAGATGACTGTGCTCCTGGAAGGAAGAACTCCAGTTCCAAACCTTTAAGAAGTTTTGGGTGCTCACTTCTGATGGAAGAAGCCCACTACTGATCTGAGAAGTACTGTGGATTCAGAGATGAATAGAATAAACTAATGAGACCTGGCACTGTAGAGAATGTAGCAGAAATGCTGCTTGGCTTATAATAATGAAAGAAAATTCTATCTGTTCCACTCTTCATCTGACTTTTATTTATTTTTTTTTCTTTTAAGGTTGGCACCTCTTCTTGTCTGAAATAATCTCTTACTCTGTCTGTAGAAATATGAAAAAGGGTTAGACTAACTTCTGAAGAGGTAACAGCTTGCAAAAGCAAAACAAATTGCAGAATTTTGGAAGGGATAGAAAGCATTACATAATATGAATGGTGGTAAATGGCTCATTTTAATAATACCACATATCTGCATTGTGTCTATAGTTAGAGTTATTCTTCCTTGAGTTTGCTCTGGTTTTATTTCTGTTTGAAAACTTTCTTCATGACATAATTGTTTCATTGTTCACCTTGGATCATGTTCTTCTGGCAGCCATCACAGACATTTGCCAGAAATGTTTGCTCTTATTTAATTCAGTATAAAATTGGTGGTGGGATTAATTTCTCTCTGATGCGTTTAATGCTCTGGCAATGTCTAGTTCAACCTGCCATTCTATTAAGTCTTTTCAGAAGTTACTGAAATGGTCTCAATATATTTATTTTTTTTAATTTTAGGTTTCATATATACTGGAGAAGTTGTACATCGAATGTTAACAGCTACACAATATATTGCACCCTTAATGGCAAATTTTGACCCCAGTGTGTCAAGAAATTCAACAGTCAGATACTTTGATAATGGTATGTAGTAGTCATTCATAAATTAATGTGTCTGTGTCCCTTGATTCTTCATGTTTTCCTAAATAACTATTTTCAAAGGAAAAAATTAATATTTTTAAAAATATTTATTCTCTTTTTTTAACTCACAGATTGGATAAAGCATGTGGCTAGGTACCTATAAACAGTACTTAATTTAGAACATGGTTAAAGAGTCATAAATGCTTTTTCCTAATTGGACAGGTATCTTCTGGATGTTAAAGTACATAAGCTCAAGGCAGCAATGTATTTTACCAGTTTTAAGAGAAAAAAAATGTTCAGGTTCCTTCAAAATATAGTGTGCTTACTAGCTAAAATGTAAATAGCATTTGTGGAATCCAATAGGAAGCATACGCTGAAGCAGAGCAGGTATAAGGTTAATAAACCTGTCAATTACTTAGTGTGCATGGAGTCCCAAGATTGGAATCCAATACACTCATCTACACCACAAATTCTCAACAGTCCTTTGTACAAAAGATTGAAAGAGTAAAAGGCAAACTGCAGTGTTATACTTGAAGATCTGTTAGATATTTCAAAGGCCTTGAATGTGTGGATATTTTTCTCATGAAGATAGTTATTATCAATATTTTGAAAATATAACCCATGTGATGAAAAGGCACCCTGGTACCTTACCTCATGCCTTTAGTGATCAAATAAAATGGCAGTGACTGTCTCTTCTGAATTTAAAACTTCAGGAGTTTAGTATCATGACTTAATATCATGAGAACTATGACTGTTTTAAATCCCCCTGGATAGGCCTGTGCCATTCTATGTATGTTTATTCATAGTGAATTTAAACAAAAATGATGAACATGTGTAAAAAATGTCACATTTTCAACTACGTGCGTTAATTTTTATTCTTAAATCAGTGATCAAAATGTATCCTATAAGCTTTGCACCTACCCATAACCTTTCCTTTCAGTGCAGTCATTACTTGCAGCATTTATTTGTTAAAAATCCAATAAAATAGACTTAGGTGAGAAAATCTTATGCTTGCATGAAGAATTTTCAAACAGAAACAAAAATATTATTGGGATTTCATCAATTATTGGACATTATGGCCTGATACTTGTCATACTTACTGAAAGAATCTGCAGGTTTTGGGGAAGACATTGCTTATTCTCATTGTATTCTTAACTTCCAGCCTTCATACCAGGTGTATCAGGCTGTATCACATTGCTTTCGTGGCAAAGTTGAATATTTCTTTGAGATTTTGGATCCCTCTTCATGTGTAAGGGACCCCTTGTCCCCCTTTGGGACCCCTTGTGCTGTAGGACAAAGAATTTGCTATCTTAACTAAAATAAAAAGGAACTGAGCAAGTTCTACCTTCAGCTCCTTATTTCTTATTTGTCCCTGGTTTATCCCCCTCGCTAAGTGTGTCACCTTACAGCGGCAAGAGCTTTAGAGTGAACAAGCACAGAGAGCAGTGTCCCATCCAGGTATCACTCATGGAGTTAACTGCAAGGAACTTAAGTGCACATAAATCTACATAGAGGCCCTGGGAATGAGAAGACTGTTTTGGAGGCAGCTGCTTTCCACTTTAGTTTGAGATTCTGAGATGCACATAAATCTGGGGTACTCAAAGACCAACTATAAAAAGTTATAGCTATTTTTGCTCCAGTAATTGTAAAAGTCCCTTTAAATTCCTTTAAAATGAAATTTAATGTAATCAAATCAATACTCAGAAAGCAGTTAATGAATGTGGTCACAGAAGGAAAAATGCACTGTGTGCGCAATTAATGAGCTTGTAATATACTCATGAAAGACACATGGGCCAATAATGTGGTGGACGGCATGCAGTGCGCGCCAAAAATTTGCATGCTTACAGTTTCATGACATCCGCTGCCAAGATATGCTAATGCAAGTTGCAGCACAGAAGAATTGTGACAAAAGATGTATCAAAAATGCATTGAGCTGGATGCATACTGACCCACCTTGAACACTCCCGGAAGAAATGAAATTGAAGTGCCGTGAATGAAAGTACATAACTCCCATTAGTGCCAAAGAGAGAAATATGTTAAGGAAGGCATATAAAGATGAAAAATTCTTTTTCAGTAAATGCAGTTTTGGTGATGTGTCTTTCAGCCAAGCTGCTTGAATGTGTCTATAACCCCCAATATCTGTAAAACATGCTCACAGGGTATGCAAGTCGCTGGGGTACATATTTAGTGCAATAAGTGGATATTCAGCCAGAGAACTCCCATGAATATTAACAAGCCTCTTGCAACTAAATCTCTGCAAGCCAGACTCAATATTTACCCTGTCTATGAATTCTTAGTGGTTTTAATTTAAACTACATTTATTTATTGCCAACACCTAATATTTTTCAACTTCCAGAACATCAGCAAGAGCTTGCACCATGCAAGAAAATATTAATGCTATTTACATTAATGCATAGTTAATGGAGGAATCTGAATTCCTCAAATAATAACTTTTACTAAACAGGCAATGCTATTAACACTTCACAATTCAAAGTCACCCGGGTGTGTATATATGTAGCGCATAAAAAAAATCACTGCAGAGCAGTGGCAGCACACCTGAAATGTGAGTTCTGGATCCCACCTCTTTAGTGATTGTTGACTCCTTGTGCAATTCCAGACAAGTTACTTGAGTAGTGGAATAGTAGCAGTTCAGGTAGTTATTTGGGACCCTGTGGTGTCTACCTGTAGGAGCATTTCGGTTGCAACTTGTATTTGTAATATCTATGGCATTTTTCAAGATACTGGCTGAAAGTTGTTAAAATGAGACAAATCACTGTTATTGTTTCAAGTAACAGCAGTTAAGTATTTTTTTCTACGGTCAGTTAATATTTTTCTCACATTTTTTCTTACCTTTGCCTCTCTATTCCCACTCTGGGGTTCACAGGCACAGCACTAGTTGTCCAGTGGGACCATGTGCATCTGCAGGATAACTACAACCTGGGCAGTTTCACTTTTCAGGCCACCCTTCTCAATGATGGGCGTATCATTTTTGGCTACAAAGAAGTAAGTTGGGTCTGAAAATTATCATTGAAGTAGAAAAATTAATTTATACTTGCCAGAAATTTCCCTA